AGAGAGAGAGAGAGAGAGAGAGAGAGAGAGAGAGAGAAGAGAGAATGAGTTCTGGTTCTTGAGGTTCATAGAGGACTTCCTGTCTGGATTTCTCCCCCTCCAGGTGGAGAAGATATCATGTGTGAAAATCAGTGGTATCAAGGTATGACCCTGACTGACCAGGTGAGAATACTCCCCATTCTTATCCCCAGGTCCCTTCTGTGCTCCATGCTTCCTTTCCCTTCCTCTCTGACAGAGATTCCCCAACCCAGGCCTCATAGAGCAGGATGTCCTCATTAAAAAGACCCAAAGACTCTAGAATGTTAGATCTGGGAGGGTCCTTAAAGCACAGAATGTCACAGATGGCTTTAGAATAGGAAAGGGCAGCACTGGGAGGGACTCTGGAACAGAAAATGTGGGAAATCTTAGAATACAGATTGTCAGAGCTAAGATGGACCTTAGAGTAGGGAATTCTAGAACTGGGAGGGACTCGGAAATTATCTCATATAATCCCTTCATTTTACCAGTGAGAGAGCTGAGATTCAAAAAGTTTAAGTGACTTGCTCAAGGTCTCATGGGTAGCAAATAGGAGAGTCAGAGTTCTTTTCCCACTGCCTCACCTTGGATTTTCTCCCAGATAAATCAGTGATGATTTATCCAAATAGAATAGCTTTCAACCTCATCTCCCCACCAGGAAAACTGACCCCTCCTCCCTGGAACATCTGTATGTCACAGAGCCCTAAGGACAAGATGAAGGCATATCTTGGGGAAGGAATCTGCTGTGCAAGCAACCAGACAAGCCTACTAACTATATATAGTGTTTTTACTCATAGCCACAGACTCAACAAAAGGAAAAAAATCACAAGTTATTTAAACATTGTCCACAGCTTTTCCCATAACCAAGCAACCAATCAATAAACCTTTATTAAGTGGCTACTATCTGTCGAGCACTTTGCTAGGGTCTGGGAATATAAGAACAAAATTGAAATAGCTCCTGCCCTCAAAGTGCTTACATTCTAATGAGGGAGACAATGTATAAACATAAATATATGCATTGATAACATGTATTTAGGAGGAATAAATATATGCACATATAATGTGTATATATTTATGGAATAAATATGTGCATATACAATATACATAGAAATAAAAAACCAGAAGAATTCCATCCTCAGGAAACTTATCTTTTTTGGGTTGGGGGGGCACACAAAATGTAGATACACTATTTAGGAAGACACAATGTGTATACATATATATGTATATTTTATATATACTTACATGAATATGAAGCACTCTGAACACCGTATGCATGTATTAAAATGCTAAACATGCTCAGCTCTCAGAAATTTTAGGAAAGATGAAGGCCAGTTGTTGAATTCCATCAACCACCTCTGCCACCCTTCTACAAGGAGGGAACAAAGTGAATTCAATTAATAAAGCATGCATCCTAAATGCTGTCCTACTTAGTCTTCAGGAGGGTCATTGCCAAGTTCATGACGGACTCAGCAGCTCAAGGTGAATCAGTGCCCTTCAGCATCACCTCCCTCACCATGTGAACCAGCTGCCAAGCTAAAAGCCACAATCTTATAAGGGAAAACTGGAGTCAAGGCCAGAGAGTTGTCTTCTCACTCCCATCACCATCTTGCTTTTTCTTGCCCTTACATTGAACCATAGATCTAGGTCTCAGAATTCATCCCAAGGGTTAATATAATAGATTTCCTTTATAATCTCATGTACATTATTTTATACATTTAAAAGCACAATTCTGGACTTCACCAGACCATCAATGGCATCCATGATACCAAAAAGGCTAAGCAACCCCCAGATTCTAGTTTATCTCCATCATTTTACATCTCAGGAAACTGAGAGTCCAGAGAGATTGAGTGACTTGCCTAATGACACACAGACAGTATCAGAGGTGACATCTGAACTCAGTTCCTCTGACTGAGGAGCCAGTGCTCTTTCCACCATGCCACACTGCCCACTGTCACATTGGTGCTCCTTGGTGTTCTTTTCCTTCTCCATCCCTAAAGTCTTGGTGAAAGGCGGAGGGAGGGTGCAGCTACCCATCTCTTATTTTTTCATAGGATGAAGGCTTGTCTTCCATTTCCTCTCCAGAGATATTGGAGGCCCCCCACCAGGTACTGTGGGTGTGAGAAAGTCAAGGATCATGGATTTGGAGCTGGAAAGGGCCTTAGAAATCTTACAGTTCAGTCAGTCAATAAACATTTTAAAAGCACCTACTGTGTGCCAGGCATTGTGCTAAGAGCAGGTGTACATATGAAAAATAAAAAGTCTTTGACCTTGAGGAGCTTAAATTTTAATGATAATGATAAGAAAACACATAAAAGGATGTTGAAAAGGGGTGGAGGGAGAGATACCTGGGATGGGGGCGGAGATCATGATGTAGAGGTCAAAGGAGTACAGCTGAGTGGGAAACAAAGAGATGCCTGGTCTCCCTCCTTAAATGGAGGTGTGGGGAGGAGCTCATCCTACCCGATAATCAGAGAGGCAGAAGGCATTAGGAGGAAACTGAAGCTGAGGGAGTTCATTGATTTGTCCATAGTTATAAAAGAAGTAATCAACAGAGCTGAGACTCAAGTTTGGGTCTTGCAGCTGCCAGCCTCAACTATCTCTCCTTTCTTCACAGGCACTGGACATCAGCAAAATGGATGTTTATGATGAGGTCATGGTCTGGCCAACAGTCCAGGCCCCCAGGGGAGAGGAGAGACCCCCAAGATGAGGCTGTCCTTCTATTTTTCCCTTCAGGGATGACCTCCTTCACTTAGGGACATTCCACAGAGACAGCATGCATTTTGTGGTGGAAAAGAGCATTCACTCAGTAAACTTTGGGAGAGCCTCCACTCCAAGGAGCATCTGCCTCCAGCCTGGAAATGAACCCAGGTGCCCCCTGGAGATCCTGCCACAGCCTTGGGCTTCAGATCTAGAAGTTGTTGTCCAGTGGCAACGGGCACTATGGAAAATGAAAGCATCAAAAAAGAGGAGATCAGGGAGGGGCCTTAGTATATAGAACATGGGATGGCAGAACTGGGAGGAACCTTAGAAAAAGAGAACATGAGACTTCCAAGGGAACTATAATGTTCTAGGTTCTGTTTTCAAGGGCTACCCCTTCCCTGCCCAGCCCCAACTGATTATGTTCTAAGATCCATCCCAGCTCTGGCATTCTAGAGTCTAGATTCCAAATATGATCTGATTAGTGTAGACTATCATCTCCCTTGTTCTAGGTACTTTATTTTTATGAATTCAGCCCAAACATGGCATTAATTTAATTACATTCAATAAACATTTAGGTACCTACTACATGGCATATTGTCTGTTTGTCACATAGTAGGTACTTAGGCGTTGGGGTGCAGCACCAGGTGCTGGGACCAGAAAGACAAAAAAACAGAAGAGTTCTGCCCTCAGGAAGCTAACCTTTTCTTGGGTGGGTGGGGGGCACACAAACACAAAAATAAAATAAATACAAAATGATGAGGGTGGGAGAGCAAGAGAATACAAACAACTGAGGTGGGGGGGGGGTGGATGTGGAGTTGGTTGGGAAATGCCGTCAACAAAGCCTGAATAGGATCTTGGGATTCAGAGACAGAGATGAACAGAGGTGAGGGCAGATGAGGTGGGGGCAACACTTCAGGGTCAGGTGGGGGCAGCATGCCTGGGCAAAGACAGGTGCATCAGCCCCTCTCCTGCCTGCCACAACTCACTTTGGTGGTTTCCTATTTGACTAACTGAAAACTCTAAGTATTTTTTCATATTACTTGCTGTTAATCTAACGCTTCTGGTTGTTTGTCCAGTTTCCTTTTTTTAGCCTAAGTACAAGACTTTACATCCATATCTATTAAATTTTGTCTTGTTCATTTGGTCATCCTTTGCAAAAATCACTTTTTTAAAAAAAATTATCTTGATAGCGTCTATTTTTACATTGCATTAATTTTTAAAGAAATCAAACAATGTTCATTGCATACCATGGGGAATACTTAATGTAAAACAGAAACATTTTGATATGAGCAACAAGGAGTTTAAAATGTGTGGAAGTGAATATTCCTATTAACTAATGTTAACTAATATTCTTATTAACTGAAGAATGGATGTTCTCAATTATTCCTTAGCTGAACGTAGTAATATTGACTTGGACAAGTAACCTTTGTATGCTAAGAGTCATCCTGATTGGTCTCATGTATTTTTAGAAACACAGTCCTTTGACCATTTATTTAATTTAGTACCCAACCCATCAACTTAATTTCTTTCATCTAATTTCTTCTGTTTGCCTCAGTTTCTTCATCTGTAAAATGAGCTGGAGAAGGAAATGGCAAACCACTCCAGTATCCTTGCCAATAAGACCCCAAATGGGGTCACAGAGAGTCAGACACAACTGAACAGCGACAGCAAATGCTAAATACTTAGGTGCACAATCTAAATGCTGTTTCCCTGAAGACATCTGAGTGAGAAGTCGAAATTTGTTGTCTTGGAGCACATAGATGCCCTGATGATTTGTCCTTAGCTTATCAGTTTGTTTCTTGAAAGCTGTGGTCCAAAAACTCTTTACAAATGAACTTCACGATATCTAACTCATCCTTGAATCTTGAAGTGTCCTCTGTAAACCTTTGTATCAGACCTTGTCCTGCTCTAAAACCCATGTTTTCCAGCTTAGTGATGTATCTTCCACTTTCCAAAATTTTGGGGATATAACCAAAGCAGACCATAGGGAATGCTTTATTTCTATCCCCATTTTACAGATGAGGAAACTGAGGCAAACAGAGATTAAATGACTCACTCGGGGTCTCCAAGATAGTTAAGTGTCTGAGGCCAGATTTAAATTCAGGTCTTCCTGACTCCAAGCCCAGCATTCTACTGTGGCACATAGCTGCCCCAAAGCTAAGCATCTTGTCCACACAAGCAATGAGTGGAAAACTGAGATTTGAACGCTGTCTTCTGACTCCAAATCATGCTCCCAAGCAAGACGTGGACTGGGGATTATATCATAGGAGCATTATTTGAAGGATTTGGGGTTGGCTAGCCTGGAAAAAAAGAATACTGTATTGATTGTGAGCAGGTTATTCTGAGGAAGAGAATTTAAACTTAGCCTGCTCGGTACCACAGGTCAGTACTAGGAGCTGTCCAAGAGTCCAAATGGGCTGCCTCAGGAGGGATTAGAGGAGAGACGGACTTGAAGTCTTCAAGCAAAGGCTGGACATCTTGTTGGTCATACTGTAACAGGGATTCTTGGCAAGACATGGGTTGGGCTACATGGCCTCCCAGGTCCCTTTCCACTGAGGTTCTGTTACTCTGTGATACTATCTTTCATTTTATATTTTTCCATCTTGCCCACAAGTTTCCCATCAAAGACAGCTGGTGACACAGTGGTTAGAGCACTGGAGCAGGAGTCAGGAAGACTTGAGTTCAAATCCAGCCTCAAGTACTTACTAGCTATGTGACCCTGGGCAAGTCACTTGGCCTCTCTTTGCCTCAGTTTCCTCAACTTTAAGGGATAATAATAGTACTTAACTCACTGGATTGTTGTGAAGATAAAATGAGCTACTACTTGTAAAGTGTTCAGGCATAGTGCCAGGTTCTGTATAAATGCATATTCCCTTCCCTTTACCCATCTGTATAATGAGGTGCCTCAACTAGATTATCCCTGATGTCTCTCCTTGTGCTTCATGTCTTGTGTTCTATTTTTTCTGTACCCTTCTGGCTGTGACATTTTGAGTTAGAAGACCTAGAGTTGGAAGGGCCATGAGAGGCCATTAAGTCCAATGCTCTCATTTTAAAGATAAAGAAACTGAGGCCCAGAGAGGGGAAGGGATTTGTCAGGGTCACGTAGGTAGCAAATATCAAGAGTCCAGACTTGAGTGCAAGACCTCTGACTAAATCCTATGTTGTTGTTGAATCATTTCTGTTGTATCAGATTCTCTGTAACCCCATTTGGGGTTTTCTTGGCAGAGATACTGGAATGGTTTGCTCTTTCTTTCTTCAGCTCATTTTCCAGATGAGGAAACTGAGACAAACAAGGTGAAGTGACTTGCCTAGGGTCACACAGCTAGTAAGTGTCTGAGGCCGGATTTGAACTCAGGAAGATGAGTCTGATTCCAAGCCCAATGTTCTATCCACTGCACCACCTAGCTGCCCTGAAATATCCTATGTACTTTCCACTATGCTAATGTTCATATGTCCTCATTCATGTAATACTGTATTTGTCTCTCTCTTATTTCTACCATCCATTTCATAAGATCATGGAATTTTAAGTGAGTTCCAAGGTCATTTATTCCAACCTTCTCATTTTACAGATGGGGAAACTGAGGATCAGAGAATTTAAAGAAAGTAGCCAGGTTGTACAGTGGACAGAGTACTGGACCTAGAGTCAGGAAGACCCAAGTTCAAATCTGACCTCACACCCTTACTGGCTGTGTGACCCTGGGCAAGTCATTTAACCTCTGACTGCCTCGTCTATAAAATGGGGATAATACTAGCACCTACTCCTCAGGGTAGCTGTAAGGCTCCAACAAGATAATATTTGTAAAGCACTTAGCTCAGTGCCTGGCCTATAGTAGGAGCTTAATAAATCCTTGTTTCCATCCTTCCTTCCTTAAAAGCCATGCTCCAGGTCACACAGATAATAATCAGCAGAGTTGGGATTTGTGACCAGCCCAATTTCATGCCATAGAAATATGAATTATTATTATTACTTTTGGCTCAAGAGGGCTGGGCTGTTCAAAAGGGAAGATGAAGGGGCTGGAGATGAGATTCTACCTCTGTCAGGCTAAGATCAGCTTTAAGTTCTAGCAGTCTATGTCTTTGTTTCCAGTTTCTGGTCCCTGGCCAAAAATTTCCTCGAGTTCTCTGGAAGCAAGAGCAGGACATCTAGAACTGTGTGTCCAGCTCTGACTTTCTACATCGTATGTTCTGAGGTTCCTGCTGTCCTTCCAGCTCTGATGTTCTATATTCTTTTTTCAAAAGGCCTTTCCATGAAGACATTTTGTGTCATAAGGTCCTTCCTAGCTTTGGCATTGTCCTCTATTGTCCAAGATTTCTTCCAGAGCTGACATTTCATGATCTATGTATGTATAACCCTTGTGTCAGAGACTCATTCATGACATAAAGGGCATCTCAGTTACAAAACAACAACAATAATTACAATAATAATTATAATAACTCAATTTATCTTCATACTTTAAGATTTAAAAATCACTTTACATGTATATCTGACTTTATCCTTGCAAAAATCATGTGAGGTAGGTGCTATCATTATCTCTTTTTTACAGTTGAGGAAATTGAGTCAGACAGGGGTTAAGATTTGCTTAGGTCAGGGAGAATTCAATATAGATAATACCCAAGGACAGAAACAAGAACAAAGAACTACATTCTCCCTACAATAAAATTCTTATTTAAACTGAAAAAAAAAAGATTTGCTCAGATCATATATTTCAAGGAAATCTTTGATAAAAAGAGTCTCCACCTACACCAACATATTTCTCTCCCCCACTCCACTTAACAATATTTTATTTTTTCCAGTTACATACAAAGATGGTTTTCAAAATTCACTTTTACAAGATTTTGAGTCCCAAATTTTCTCCCCTCCCTTCCTTTCTCCCTCCCCAAGATGGCGAACAGACTGATATAGGCTATACATGTACAATCATGTTAAACATATTTCTACGTAAGTCTTTTTGTGGAAGAAGAATCAGAACAAAAGAGAAAAACCACAAGAAAGAAAAAACAAACAAA